CCAACTTTTCTTTAAGTCCCATATATTGCATGTGAAGACGTCCAAGCATTGCATTTCAGTTGCACGCCGGCGTGCAACTGCAACCATCGAGCAATGAGGACGTCTGTCCGACAAAGATTTGATGTCAGTCGAGCAATAGCTGTGCGCGCTGGGTTAAAAGCATTTTTAGTAAAAACAAAATAATTAATAGTTTAAAATATCTGAAAGTGAAACTATAAAGGTAAAAAATGCAGCTTAGAGAATTAGGTTTTCTCACCATGCATTTCTCATGGTAATTTTTAAGGGAGTGTATTTTTCAAATTAGAAAACCATTTGTACCTTAAAAGGACGTCCTTATGTTAATGAGCGTTTAAGTGTTCCGGCTCAGAGTGCAAACAGATAACCCAGCAAATAATGTGAAGCAGCTTTTAATCTTCCCACACCGCCAAATTAATTTTAAAGTGCTCCGCACACTTTTGCGTGCGCACAAAAAAATAATCTCCGCCCGCTAAAAAGGCGTCTAACGCGTCAGCGCGAAAAAATAACAAACGCAAACAAGCATGCACGCGGTGCGCGCTGATGTTAACACGAGAAATTTCCTTGTTAGTTGGAACTCGTAATTAAAATTTTCGCTTTCTTCCGTGAGATAATGCAACACCACGTTTGGTTGCAAAAAAATTACTCTTCTTCAAATTTACTTAAAAAGAGTTCGCGTCATCGCTCAAATTGTGCACATTTTTATCGCGCGGTACATGCTGCGAGCTCTTTAGCTGCACGGCTAATGCATTTGAAAGCAAAACTGTGGGCATTGCAGAATAGTGAGTGCTTTCTCCTAATGAGATGCTTTCATGATTGAATCTCGTGTGCGCTTGAATGTCGTTAATCCGGCTGCTCGCGTTTTGAAACGCCACCCACATCTTATAATGCAATAATACTGGTGCAGGTGGTGCCCACGGAAAGACCCGGCAGAAAGTTGCAAAGGACGCGTCCTTGTTTGTGTAGTAAAACGGTACTTTAGCTCCTGCATAATTAAATTACTCATTTTTAAATTTGTTTAATTCATTTTATATCTGCTTGAAAATTAATAAAACATAAGAATTAAATGATTTTATAGAATTTTAATAATTTATTTAAAAAAGTATTGCTTCCATTCCTCAAATTTTGTGCCGTGATTGAAATAATATAGAATTTCCCTGTCAACCTACATGTTTAATATTTTTTTAGTTGTAGCAGGAATCGCAAGGTTTTTTACATGGAAACAAAAAACTTTTCCTCCATCGGATAATTCCTGGGACATAAGCAGATGCAGCGTTAACAAACAAGCGTCTAATTGAATCGGAGGAAGTTGCATTTAGACCCTTCTCAATGCTCCAAGCAATTAAAATTGGATTTCTCTCTCTCCGTTCTGCAATTACGTGTGTATATAGAGAGCTGCCTATTATCGTTGCAGGCGGTAATTTATGCGTTTTATCGCACCATGTAGCACATTCATAGGCTAGGAAGTGATTAATATTCAGCAGCTCTACTTTATATTTACTTTTTTTTGTTATTCAATGTGGCGAACAAACTAAACATTTCTCTCTCGAGGAAGATGATAATTACGTCTGATAATAAAACTGAACCCTTCCGAGAAGGAAATTAATATTTCAAGTCATGTTTGTATTTTCCCTGTTGTTATAAAATCTGTAAAACCGAGCGAATTAAAACTTTCCAAGGCACATAATGCATTTTGTTGTTTGGGTAAAATTATATTATCGCATTGGCATTAAGTAACGCCGATGCTTTCGCCGAGCAGGAAACCCTTTCATATTCGAAAACATCATGAGCAGATGTCTAAGAAATTAATATCGCTTTTGTGAATAGGAAAAATCAGGCACCATTACACCGCATCAAATAAACATAAAAGCGTCGAATTCATCGCGTGCAACGTTGCGTTTGTTATTTGCATCTGTCAAACTCTTTTCTCCAAATAAAATAAGAAGGCTAATCCGTGGCGAATTAGCTGAAAGTCGGCGCGCGAGAACAATGGACCTTAAAGAGCAAACAGCCACGTAATCACCTTTAAAGGCCTTTCTTAAATTAAAGTCACGTTTGGGTAAAAGTGCCGGATGGACATGCAGAACTCAAAAAGTGAGATTTTGGCAGGAAGGGAAATTCATATGGCAAAGCACACCTCGCCAGGTCAAAGGGTCAATCACTATATTTCGCGCGAGTTAAATTCTTCCGCCTTAACAATATCAATCGCATTAAAAAGCGTGATGGCTTTTGGAAATTATAATAATTTGAAATCTATTGCATCGGTAATAACAGGCCAGAGATTTTAATATTATATTAAAAAAGAATTTATTGAAAAATTTATTCCCAAAGTTTCTTAATTATGCCCTTTCAGAGTTCAAAAGCGAGGATGTAAAATCAGCTGGCGAGAGGACAATGGTGCGCCTTGTGCATGATTTTGCGCCAAAGTGATTAGTGGGTCGTGTGTTTCTTTTCCGCGGGCTGAAAGGTCGTCGCATGATCAATCGAGACAAATAAATGTGCACATCACGCATATCCGACCAAGACACACAAGCCGAGTGCGCTTTTCTCCACGCAGAGAGCAATTGCATTGATTTGAAAAGACTTTCCGTTACGGTGCTGACCCCTTAATGGTCGCCGTCGGTGTCACCAACAGGCGCTTGCTTTCAACAATCGTTAGATCTCGGCACCTCGCCTGCATTGTGTGCCGTCGTGCACATCGCGAAAATCGATTCTGCTCGCCATTATATGCGCGAGTTTTGGGGACAAATGTGAAAATGTCCAATCTTGCAGGGTTAATGAGGTTCGCTTATGAATAAAAAATTGTTTATAATTACTGAAGCTCAGATATAATTTAATTTCAACATTTTATTCGAATAAACAATTTTGCGATGCAAAGGCAAGGTCCAACATGAGCAAAAAGTAATTTGTTTCTTCTTACTGCTAGCAAATTCCTCTCAAAATTGCAAAATGGACATGAAAATAAAACATTCCTGTGCGTTTGCCAAGAATTTTGCAACGAGCGGTCTTGAGCATTTTGACCGCTCCTCCGAGAAAACCCCATAAAAGCTCAAAAGACGCCCATCTCACTCTCTGGGTTGGCAAATCTGGTCGCGCGTCACCTGCTTGGGTTAGAGGGCAAAATAATTAGACCTGTGCTGGCAATTCGCTGCTGTGTACGAAGTGAACATCACGTAGGCCCCAAGTTAAAAATTGAGTTTTATGATCTTTAAATTCCTTTCGGGCTGCATTCTGAGCGTCAATTACGTTGCAAAACACCGGCTCCATCGTCGAACTTAATGCCTTACTCAATTTCTTATGATACGCACATGACTTGTATGTAAATTTTGCTCGCGGAAGAACTGGACGTGCCGGTTTTTAATTGTAATTAAAATTCATCTTTGCGCGACTCGCTGCCATTTGTATGATGCTGGGCTCAAAATAATAGTTGTCTGCAGACTTCAGATGCTGGTATGCCAATTCAGGTTGGTTGAAAATTTTCATTAAACAGCGCCCCTCTTTCGCTATACGTTGATCAGTGTATGGAATTTTACAGTTTAAAAAAGTTAAAAACCAACTGATGCATAGCTGTAAAAATATTCACAAAGTATTAAATATAAATAATTTAAGTCACAAAAAAGCTTATTGATTTTTATTTTTAAATAAAAAAAAGTGAGCAAAGAATGTAAAACAGAATATAATTTACCTTATTCATACGCAAACTTCAATGCTTTATTTTTGTTACATGAAATAAAAATTTATTTTAAATCATATTATGCCAAATAGTTACTTTAAGTTAAAAGTTTATTGTTTAACACTTCCATTGAACAAATTTAATCACTTCTCAGCATCTCGCATCAGTGTCAAAAGTCAAGGTTCGCTAAAAGCCGGCATATTCAAAAATAATTTACGACGCCTGAGGAGGATGGTTAGTTAATCAAAAGTCCATTCCCTCTCTGCGTGCCATAAAATCGTTCTCCGTTTTATCTTCAGACAACATGGCTACGGCCAAGTGAGCAGATTCGCCAGCAGATTATAATTGCGTTGCGTCAAACGTTTTCGTTTCATCAAAAATCCATAAAAATTCCTCCCCGCCGGAGTCGTAAACCGCGATATTAAAATTACCTCATAACGAAAAGGATCCGCGTTGTTGTTGCATAAAATAGTACCGCTTTTAGCAAAAAAAGGAGTCCGGTTCATAAAACGATTAAAATAAAATATTCTAGGCAAACTTCTGCCCAACAAGTAGCCGCAACTCTGTTTATACCCGGCACTGGGGAATTTCAAAGCGTGTGGAGCAAAAACATGGTATTTGTACACGCACATGCATTCGCAATATAAATTTTGTGGAACGTTAAGCTCTGTTTTTCTAGGAACGGACTGGGCATTTTCCTCTTTCTTTGGAAGCAATTTAAAGTTTGCGATTACAAATTAGGCAGTTTTACAGAGATATCTTATTTTACAGATGATAATAATGACTGTGTTTACTGAAGTCAATACCCGCATTTGAAATAATTATTTTATTGTTATCCACTTTTTGAAAGTAAATAGTGAAATTATCCGCCAGTTAAAATTTAAAAATGAACCAAATTAATGTTTATTACGGTTATTTCGTTTGCTTTGAACAAATAATTATATCATATTATAATTTTCTGTAAAATTTAGGAGTTTTGGAAATTTAATTTTTTTTTCTCTGTGAACCAAATTAAACAATTGCTCAAATTCAAACATAATTTTTAATATTTTGGCAATTATTTTCAACCCCAATTTGTTGCCAATCCGTGTTCACATTCGCCAAAGACGGAAAATGCTAATGCGGCAGTCGGTATGGGTAGGCGAGCAAACCATTTGTAAAAAAGTCAGACCTTCCTGATCGCGGCGAGAGCGCGCGGACTGCGGAGGGGGGCGTCGCGCCGACCCACCAGACCTCTCTTTTTCTTTCTCTGTGGCACAGTCAGTCAGTAGTGAGTGAGCGAGTAGTGAACGTGTCGAAATGCCTGTTCCAGAGTGAGAAACGCCGACCATGGGCTCGATCGCAGCCGAGTCGCGCCAGCTCACCCCTGTGCCGTCGCACCACCACTCCGGGGGCGGCCTGGTGGTCGCCAGGCCTACCAGGTGCCTGCTCCTGCTGCAAGGGTGTCTCGCCGTCAAGCTGCAGAGGGTGTCCACCCTGGTGTCCGCACATCCGCACCAGCAGCACCCACCCAAGCAGGGCCACGAGTTCTGGATGTACGACAGTGGATACAGGCTCTTCCAGGTCAGTTTATTGTTTTATTATTTTATAACATTATGTTCAATAATTTTGCTGTCACCATATATAGAACCAAGGGCAGAAAAATTGCATTTACTATTAGCAGTATCTATTACGGATCAACTTTTAAACAAAGCAATAATTTATTAAATATTTGTTCAACTTTTACAAATCCAATATAATAACCTTTATTTTTTTTTAAAGCTATATTATGAAATTATTTAATCTTATCACAAATTAACAAATAAATAATGCTATTAAAAAATAATAAATAAAATTAACTAAACTCTTTGATTAAAAATATAAGTTATTGATATTAACAATTAACAGGCAAATAAATTATCAGCATAGCTAAGGAAGTAATTTTGTTCACGAATAAAGAGTGCACTCTTAGTTAGATCCCCATAAATTACTACCCCATTTCGTGGGTAGTGCAAAGAAGGGAAGATTTTGTCTGCATAGCTGCGGAGAGTGGCAAACCAGAGCAGTTGTTAATACTTCATGGACATATGGGGTACACGGACTGCTGCCGAAGCAGCGAAAAATAGCCGCAGAGACCAATCCCCTTAAAACTGTTTTATTGTACTGCTGCTCCTCACCCCAGTTATTTCTTGAATAGCAACAATAGCAGTTCCTTTCTTCATTCCAAAAGAAACGTCCCTACCCAAACATCTGCTGCCTTCGAGAAATCATCTGCTTAGAATTAAATGTTGTGTGTATGCAGGGATTTTAATCTGATTTTGCAGTGTAATTGGTCAAAATTAATTAATTGCGCCTAAAGCAAGAAACAAATTTCCATGACAGCACTAAAAAAAAATCCCCCCTTTCTTCTGCTTAATCTGGGCTGTTGTGGAGAGTGCATTAAGTGTATAGGCCCCTGCAGACTTGCTGCTGATAAAACACTGCCTGCATTTGAAAACCCCGGCTTTTCGAGAAAAGCCACTCGAACGACAAAGGAAATTTCTTCCTCGTCCAATGTTGGCTTTTCCAGACGGCGCGCATTATCTCTCTCAGCAGTTGGACTCGCTCGCCTCTGTCTTTGAAAGTGTATTTCTCGGCCGCTTTTGATCTTGATGAATGGTTTTGGTATGCAATGCGAGAGCGAAAACATTTTCCGAAATGAAAATGGAAAAAAGTCGGCGACGCTTAAATTATTTTTTTATTTCTCTGTCTCCGGCGCCGCAAACTTTCCTGTATGAAACGTTTGAGAGTTTTTTAGCGCCTGCAGGATGGAGGCTCTTGTTTTGGAGTCGTTCCAAACAAATTTACCCCTGTGTGCTGAATCGCACCATGGAATCACAGAAGTGCTGCTGGAAATTGGTATTCGTCCATTCGAAATTGCCATTGGATATCAGATATCTATTTCAGTCATACGATCAGAAAATAGCGTTAAATCCGTTTAGCTGAGAGAAAAAAGGGGTGTGAAAGAATTTAAGATCAAATCAAATCGTGATGAAAATCGGTAAAATTATATTCTAAAAAAAAAAAATCCTATGCAGGTTCTCTAACAGGTAAAAAAATAAAAAACAAATATTGATTAAAATTCTATTGTATTATTTGTCTAAAAAATTTATTCACGATGAAGAACTGTTCCTCTATTTAAAATAAGGAATTCTAAATTTTAATAGACTGTTTTTCCCTATTGATTCCTGGTTCATATAGGAATATTGAGAAAACTTTGTCTTTATTTTAATAAATTGAAATTATTACCATAATTTCAGGTAATCAAAGAAAATGATTTAAATTTTAATCACCTACTGGTATAATTTTGAACATCAATGCAGCCCAAATCGATTTGCATAGAAAATGAAGATTTCATTATTAATAATTATGCGGAAATGTTAAAAATAAGAGGGAATGGAAGCATGAAGTCAACTTGGAGCTTTTTTTCTTTTTTCTAGTGACGTAATAACGCACCAGCTTTTATTTAACAACAAACCTTTCTTGCTTTTCCCCCCTCACCTTTTTGCCTTTTCTTTCACCCTTGGATTTTCTCTTTCAATATTTGACAGTCCTTTCGCTAATTGACAGACAATCGTTTTCAATGTTTGCAAATCGGCAAGTAAATATCCTATCTCACTCCGCAGATCTCTGAGATGACCTGTGCTAAACAGAAATCCTTCGCCAATTTTATGTTCGTAACGCCTGAAAGGTGCCAATAACGTTGAGCACCTGTTTAGGGCGGCAATAAAAGAACAATGCAATGTGCTGTTCAAACGCTGATTTGCAAAGTCCTTTGAACACACACCTGGCCAAACAACGTAAAGCGGCCTCGAAAGCGATATTGACACTGAACTTTTGCCTCGTTGGAATATAAGAAAAAAAAATCAGCAGCAACTTTGTGTGGAGTGAATTTATATGTAACGAGTGGGGGCTCTCCTGACGCACCTTGGAGGAAAGGTCGCCAAACGGCAGGCCGGCTGGGATGACGTTATCTTTGCAAATAAGCAATCGGTTTATTGTTGGCCGAGGTGGGTGTAGCACACGATTTTCTTGCCAGTCGTGAACTTATCTCTCTGCTCAATACACGAGAGCAATCTTTAATTACGAACAGCGAATACGTGGGTGACTCACCTGCTCTGGAGCATAATTTTATGCCACTTATTACATTACACAGGTGCATTGCCACTCTCTCACTCGGGGGAATTAAACAAACGCCCAGAGGCCGTTTGCGTTATGAATTGAATAATCAATCCGGCGGGGCCAGTTTTTTGTCGATTTTTTCGAGGAGAGTAGAAAGGTCAAGCGGATTTGCAAAGATTTATATTTACCTGCACATTAATCAAGATCAATTTTATTCAAAAATTGTACCAGTAAAATTATGATGGTATTATTCAAAACAATCTGCATTCACGAAATGACAAAATGTGATTTGAAAGTATGCAAGTTAATCATAAATTATATTAAAAATTCAATTAAATAATGAATAATTAAGGTTACCAAAGATTGCATTATTTAAAAAAAAACTTCAATGAAAGTAAGTCAGCTTTAACTAAGTATATATATTTTATTTTTTGTAGCTATAATAAATATAAGAATCCATATTAAAAAAGTTAAGTAATTTTGTAAATCTTCTGGAGATCAATGCTCATAATATCTCATAAACTTGATTGGTAAAGTTAACTTGCGAGAAGCAACTTATAAGAATTGATGGCAAAAATGTATCATTAATGCTTTACGTATCTTTAACGTTGGTGCTTTATAAATATTTATTTATACTTATTTTGATTAGTCTGATAATCTGAAATTTAAAAAAAAATATATATTAAAAACATTTTTAAATTATGTAATTTAATAAAAAAAAAAAAATATTTGTTGCAAAATGATGTTTAGCCTAAATTTTCTCCATCTTTTTTTGCAGAGTTTTCTTGAGGCGAACTTGAGATGCTTTTGGAACCCTTCCCTTCTGGAGGCCATGCGCCAGCTGCAGTACCAAGGGTACGTGGCACCTGGAGTGCTCCTCGTTTCAGCCGACCCTTGCGCCCTAGAAATCATCAGGGCCGCCTGGGGCAGGAAAACGCTGCAGCCACCATCAAACCACATTGTCACCCTTGTCGGTAAGTCCATTTTATTTTCAAATTTTTATTAAATGACCACAGGCCAATTAAGAGATTCAAGCGAATGGGAATTTATTTTATTAGCAAACAGATAATAAATGTTTATTTTTTTAATGTCCCTCTATAGGAATTTCTGTTCTCATTGCCAGTTATCGTGATGCCCAATGATATATGTGAATTCCACTTATAATTACATCAACACTGACAAGTGAGCAGCATGTAAATTACAAAAAAATATCATAATTAGCCGCTTCTCTGTTATTTATCTTCGATTTCTTTACATCTGAATGCATTCCTGGCGGCGATGCAGGTTTTATTTGTCTGATCGCTCCATTATAATTATCATGATGGTTGACACTAAAAAATCGGATATCATTTGGTTCTCATCGTAGCCCAGAGTGCAGTGGACCAGTTTTTCTCTCACCTTGATTTATGCCCTCTTTCTCGGATCGACATTAAAAATTTATAAATGGAACTCATTTCCTCCCATAAATTCAAATCCACGCCCAGTTTGCGTCTCTCAGGTGAAATAAATCCAAGTGACTAACTTGTAAAAGTAGATTGCGGATTCACCTTGGAGTAAAGAGGTTCGAAAAAAGAAATGATGTAATACAAAAGATGCGAAAAGGTCAACACCAGTTTTACTCCCTCGTCTTTTGATGTATGAGTATGTTGCACGCGCTCACTTGAATGTATGTACATGTTAGTCACCTTTTCCAATGAGCAGAGATGGGTCGTCGTTGTATTTTTATGACCGCATCTCTTTCCTTCTCGGTTTTTTACCTACCCGTGCATGACATCATTATTTATTGGATTGGCACTCTTGGCAACGAGTTTTTCAACCTGAGCGCCACTCTGACGCCTCAAATGAGAAATGAGAGAGGTGTCTGCGCGCTGCGGAATTTACAGTTAATTTTCTTTGATATGCAAACTGTCTGAAGCCCTTTTCGCAAATGGGATAAATATATCTTGATGAAAATCGTCATCACGCGAAAATTGCAGTTTTAAATTTGGAGAAATCCGGTTTAGCTTCAACTTTTGCGTAAATCAAATGCAAAATGGCCTTTCACGCGATTTGAATACAAGAGCGGTGTGATTTATTTCGTATCCATTCCAATTTCACTGCTCTGGAGTGTTTTATCACATTTGTTTCACCACAGTCTCTCTATTATGCACGAACAAAACCGAAACAACTTTTCATTTCGTTTTCAAGCTATGCAACAATTGCAGTGGAGTTAATGAAGAAAAGCATATAATAGAACATACTAACGACTGCTCTGAAGAATAATTTGACATTTTTAGAGTGGCAAGAGTGTCAAGTAATACAAAAGACTTTTCAGAGAGGGAAAGGCTAAAAGCACACGTACTTGTTCCTTGAATTTAGTAAAAATTGAGACTTTCAATATCTTTTTTATTTCAAATTTTAAATTTAAAAATTACTATCTCCTAATTTGATGTTTATTTGAACGTGACAAACATAAAAAGCAGCATGCAGAATTTAAAAGATCATATATTTTTCGTTCTCTTATTGATTGGTTATTATTTTATTACAATGCCTTGGGGTCTGCGTGCTCCGAAGCGTTAATAGTAGGTGTGCCGTTCGTGAGAAAAAATTTACCCACTTCGGTTTCACCCGCCGTCAATTAATGCCAATTCTGCGACCTAAAAAATGTATTTTATCACTCGGGGACCGTTTTGACAGCTGGAAGTTATCTTTTTGTGCACCACATGGTTAAAGTAGCATTTCGCCTTTAAAAGGAGAAGTACTGTTATGTCGCCTGCAAAAAATGCTTGGCCCTCATTAAGACAATATTCGAAGTCATAAATTATTTTTGGCCGTCATTAAAGCGAGTTCGGTTCCCAGAGCGGTGAGTCAGATCTCATTCACTAATTCAATTTTTTCCATGGCAGTTTTTTCATAGGTAAATCAAGTACGAGCGCACATTATAAGCATGGCGCGCGCACAAATGTCCTAGGGTGAAAAGTGTTGGTTACGGTGAAATAGCCTTGTAGCCAGCACACCGTAAATTTTTATTAGTACACGCTTTTTTACTTAATTAAGAGTAAAAGGCGATCATTTTTTTAGTAGCTGCTTCAAATTCACCTATAAGATTATTTGTCAAATTAATTATTGGTAATTACAATTTTTTTCTTATAAATGAAGAAAATAAGATCAAAGCTAATGACACAGGCCGATACTGAAATCCAGATCCAGTTACTTGAATTCTGAACATATACAGTAAAAAATTTGATACGGATCTGGCAAGAGGCGATTCAGAAAATATTGCAAGGCGTAGTGGCGATGACCGCCAGTGAAAACCACTTTGGGCCGCCTGAGAAAAACCTCTCGAGCACTTAAACATCGTACAAATAAATATCAGAGATGTATAAATGGCGGCGAAGTCGCGCGAGGAACCGACGAACAGGGAGCGGCTCCCGAGGCTCTGCTTCGGTAATGAAGAGGTCACGTGAGCAGAAATTTCGTGAGAAAAAACGCAGCAGGTAATTCAATCAAGCTGCTTAAAAATGAGTCAATTGGTAATCCAAGACGAAATTTTCGAAAGGTGTGCCTGCAGAAAGGATTTGTGCGTATTAGGGAAACACGCTTTAATTTTGTTACCTCATTCTGACAACATAAATCAGGAACAAGAAATTTTCATAATATAAATTTGAGGCTTTTATTATTCATAAATGTATAAAAAAATTAAAAGTTTAAATTTTTAGTATTAAAATATTAAGAAATTATATCAAAATTATTAATGTTTTAACTTTATTAAGAAATTAATAAACACTTTGCATGATTCTTTATATTTTTTATTGTGTGCTATTTTTCTGTATCTGTATATCTAAATTTAGTAAGATTAACGTTTTCGTTCAGTGCTTTTACATTGTTGATAAATTTTCTTTTTTCCGTAATTGATTGTTTGTGGGTTTGTGAAACTATTTAAACTCTCTCGCCAATTAAATTATTTCAACTCATGCTAAAAAGTTAGTACGTGACAAGACCTCTCGCCGCCGCAAAAACACTCTCCCTGAGGGATTTGCTTTTTATCAAAAGATCATGAGCCGATCGTTGGTTGGTAACTTGGAATGTATATTATTAAGCACTGGCAATCGATTCCCACAGCGCACGACGGCTGATTTTGACTCGGGAAATTTCACTGCCAGATTTGATTTCACTGTTGGCTTGTGAGAGTTTTAGCGACGCGCTCTTGTTAGCCATAGAGATTGAATCAATCAGTCTGCAAAATGCAGTGCGCGAGCCTCCAGGGAAAATTTTTGTGTGCACGGTGGAGGGACCGCATACACTTGATGCCATCGCATGCATCATGCATGAGAACCAAAACAATAACCGGCCGCAATTGCTTTTATCGCGGCAGATCTCTTTTTGCGAGCAAATTGTCTTAAGCTTTCCAGATCTATTAAGAGAAGGCGGTTCGAAATTCATTGACGTGTGTTTGAATAAAATACGTGCACGTACGAACAGCATGGGGCGCACATACATTTCCATTTAAGAAATGGTTTCAATTAACGGTGGATGCCTTTAATTGAATTCGGCTCAATAAAAATTGTTTCGTGAAAGGGAGAGTTGCCAGCTGAATTGGGTGATCACGTGGCCATTATTAAAAAAATCAGTTTAAATAATGAACCGAACAATAAAAAAAAAATTCAAAAGTTTTTCCACTTGTACTTTCATTAAATTAATTATTTGAGAAAGCTTTTCCTTTCAATTAAAAATTTCATTGCTTCTTTAAACATTCCTCTTTCAAATTTCAAATAGTTCTAGTGAAATATTTTTGTATGTAAATTCCACGACATCCATTTTGCTGTTGCCGCAAGAATGTGGAATTCCTCAAAAAGACTGGTTTTACAAGTGTCCCGAGGAAAATGTAAAGCTGCTGCTGACGCTTTGTTTATTTTTAAACTCTTGAAAATAACACGCCATAAAATACATTTATGCATCACGGAAAATGAAAAATATATTTACATCTTGTGCCTGTACAACACACTCTTCATTTCTGCTCTCACGACAGGCGTGCTTCCTCTGCGACTTTATCTATCATGGATTCAACGCAAATCTTGCATCACCGCAATAAATATATAAAGTTATTTAAATAACGCAATTAAACAACCAGAAAATCGTATTCGATTTTCATTGCTGTTTTTTTTTCAATCACCAACGCACGCGTGCTACAGACTTTGTTTCTTCCCATCATTTATAATTTTTTTCCTGTTATTAAATTACGAACCAACTCGAACGTCATTTATAATTATATAGATTTGGCACGATGAATAATGCGATTGCCGGTGCTAGTTGGAGATGCTGCTGCACATTAATGAAAAAAAAAACAAGCGACCATCAAAGTTAATTAGCAATCCCAAGTGGGCCGTACACATGAAATTAGTGAATGGTGTATTTAATTTTTTACGCTCAGCTTAATCTTAACTTTAAAGTTCAAGGTCTTTTAATATTTTGTATCAATTAATTCAAAAGTAACATACATTTCTCTCACTACACTAATTTAAATAAATGATTCAAAATGCTGGTCACTTGCTAGAAAAATGTGGAGAAACTTTGTAGGAAATTCTCTTAATCGAATTACAAGCTTTGAGAGTTGGAGAAAGGTTGTTGGAACTTGTTGAAAACCAATAGTTTTTTCCTGAAAACAAACCTGATTTCTGTATTAATATGATTATGGTATTCAAATCTCATAAATAAATTCGTGTCTCTTTATCGCATGTAAATTTCCGGCGCTTGTTCGTGATTTATTTGAAATGAAAGTTTTAATCCCGCTTCAATTTGTAGCTCCATTGGTAGATAATTTTGCTTATACAATGGCGCGAAATGAGCTACGCTGGTGCAGAGAACTTGTTGATTTGAATCTAATACAAGAAAGCTTCCCGTTTCAAAGAATATACACAAATAAACTCCACCCATTCTAATTCACTGCAATGACTTACATATGCCGCTCTCACAATCGGAATAATTATATACAAAC